AGGTAGATTTTGGGTTTGCTTGCTTTGTAACTGTTCACCCAGGTTTTCCTTATTTTATGTGAGCAGTGAGTTGTTCTTTATAACATAAAAATAAATTTGCTTCTTTCCCTTTTTCAGAGATTGAATTGCTCAAGAAACTGCTGCCTGAGATGGTGAGGTTTGAACCCTCTTGGGAGGAGCTGGAACTCTACAAAGATGGGGGCTTGGCCGTGATTGACCAGTGGATCTGTGCACATGCAAGGTAGCCAGTCTGACTTCTCTTTAAGGAGCGAAATCTTACTGTCACAAAACTGAATATTATTTTTGACCCAGATATAGTTGTTTACAAATTGTATATGACAGGATATTATATAATTGATATATATAATAGAAGTATGATAGTTATATTGTGTGTATATATAATATGTATGTTAATTTCATTATCATATCATTTCAGTGAACATTTAAGTTCATTTGACTGAAATAAATTCCTTGCATTTTAAAAACTGGCCCCCTTCACAAACCCATTCTGATTTTTTTTCACAGATATTTTATAGGCACCTCAGTTTCAACATTTTCCTTCCGGATCCATGAGGAAAGGGAGATCTTGGGATTTGATCCAAAAACAACCTACAACCGATTTTGTGGTGAAAAAGAGAAAAACTGTGAGCAGCCAACTCACTGGAAAATTGTGTACTAAAATACAGAGAAACCCAAGGACTTCCATACTGGTGAGCCCAAAAGAATAATGAAAAATACAGGGAAATACCTTCCTTTGACCAAACTGCAACTCAGTCTTCTACCCTCTTCTTGGTGTTTACTTGACATTTGGGTTTTGAAGTATAAATAATATTCATCTTCTTAGTCAGGCATTGATGGGAGTGAGAAAAATGAAGTCAGCCTGGGATCCAGTTCTCAGCACAGCTAGGATTTGAGGACAATACCAGACACTGCAATTCAGACTTGAAAGGCAAAACTTTGTCTTGAAACTGAGTAACAAAGTTAAGTCACACCTTTCTTTGGAGTTCTAAGGAAGAAGTGGAACAGTTTTAACTTTCATACATGTAACACAGTTGTGGTCTATACTGCATTTCTATCTTTATTTTTTGTTCTGTTCACTGTTCACCTCTCTGATTGCAAAAAATACACCTTGCTTTTGTAACCTGCACTATGTGAGCTGCAGATTCTGTGTAAACTCTGCCGTTCCTTGGGGAAATCTTCACTTTTAAAATAGTAATCTGTCCACATAAAATTTTCTGATGCAGTCAGTGCTTGATATAAGAAGAGGAGGTGGTGTTTCTACCTCAACACCAGCTGCTTTGAATAGCAGTCCAGTGGATCTAAAAGTGAAGCTCCCGTTTGTTCCAATATGGGAAGGCCCAGGCCAGGGAGATAAGTTGTTATACCCAGAGTGAGATTAAGACACAAACCAGGTCAAATGCCGCTAACTGCAGGCCTTTCATGGTTACTTACCTGAACAAAGTACTTAAAAGAAAGTAGCACTAGGAAAGGGAGAGAAAACAGAGAAGAAGGAAACGTAGCAAGCAGTTGAGTTAGAGCTGCAAAAGATAGTCACCACCATGGAGCTAATGGAGTCCCGTCAGCCGTCAGTCTTCATGTATTCCGGTGGTGAGGGTCCCATTCGCTGCTTGGGTGCACCACCTTTTACAGGGCATTTGGGGAAGGTTGTTTCCTAGACAACGGCACATCCTGCCTACCTGCGCATACTCTCAGTTTTGGTGCGCTTGGTCCCGTTAAGTGGACGCGGCCACTGCGTGATCAGTCGCCATGCATGCTTCCACAGGCTGAGGCGGTTGCTTGTCTCTGGACATACCCTCCCCCAAGGTGGCACGGCTGTTCTGTGACTCATGTTGTCATGACAGCTGGACTGAGCCAGACTGTCTGGAAGTCTTGCAGATGAGCTCACTAGAGTTGTAAACAAGCTTTGAGACAGTCAGCTCAAGGTAAAGTCTCTTACGCAGTTTGAGAAGGGTTTTATACAAGTACCAATTCTAGCTCTTGCAGTCTCCCGCTCTGTAGGGTTGGCTGCTGGGAAGTATTCTGCTTCATTCTGTGCTTCGGGTGGGTCTTTTGCCCTGCAGGTCTTACATGGCTCTGTTAAGCAGGAGAAACCTTTTTCAAAAGTGGACTAGGAGACGGGTTTCAAAAGGTGAGGCGGACATTTTTCCTTGAAGTCAGTTTTACCAGATTGCCTTGCTGCTAGCAGACCCTCCACTTGCTCTTTTCTCTTGGTTTGAGTTAGGAGTATATGTAACCCTCCTGCGCTGTGCGGTGGACGTTTCACAGATGCTCCCAGGCAATGAGGTTGTTTCCTCCTGTGCAACTGCAGCGGTAGCTGTGAAGACTTCTCAGAGAGTCGTAGCACGAGCTCTCCTGTTCTTACCAGCTGTTTATTGTATGGCCGTGCAGCAGCTGAGCCTCTCTGGCGACAAAGTGGGGAGCCCAGTGTTTCAGAGCAGTGCCTTTTCCCACCAAGTCAAACGTTCTCGTTGAGCCTGCACGCCATGTAAAGCACTGGTGGTGTGTTATGTGTAATGTATACCTCGTTAAGAAAAATAAAAAGCTTTGTAGCATTTTATGTGACGTGCCCATGCTTCTTACGGCTTTCTAACCGTGCATTTTGCTGCCTCCTGGCTCCCTAGCAATTGGATTCTAGCGTAGGAGAAACTTGGATAAAGCCTGCATGCCCCGAGAAGGGTTTTTTTCATCATCTGTGCCATGAGGTGCTGCATTAGCAAGTGTAGCTGGCATTACCCTTCTGGGCACTGGGAGCCTGCATCTGGTAAATCTCGGTGCCCCCCGCTGCAAGAGGGATGTAGGAGAGAGTCCAGCGGAAGGCTGCGAAACCCATCGGCAGCTGGAGTCCACGGTGCAGGAGGGGAGGAGGAGAGAGCTGGGCTTTTTCAGCCTGGAGAAGCTGAAAGAGGGATCTAACTGTTGGCCTTCACTACACAAAAGGGGGTCACAGGGAAGGCCGAGCTGGGCCTTCCTCAGCGCTGCACAGCAAAAGCACCGGGAAGCTACAGGCACAACCTGCCACAAGGGAACTTCTGCTTGGGCCTCAGGTACAGCCTCTCGCCCCCAGGAGCTGTGCAGCCCTGGGACAGGGCCCAGAGAGGAGCGGTGGGTCTTTCAGCTGTGCTTGTTTCAGCCTCGCTGAGGGAGTCAAGGGCAACAGAGGACAAGCTCACATGCAAGTAGGGTGCAGAGAAATGACACCCACCTTTCTGGCTCAAATAGAGGATGGGGATTAGAGAGATGAGAGCTCACTCAAGGATATATCCAGAAGAAATCACTCACCAAAACAAGGTTGAGGGCCCTCAGTCCCGGGAAGTTTCCTCAGGTGGCATCCCAACCCAAGGGGACACATCTCAACCCAACACAGACCTGCTGCTCTGAGCAGACCACTCCAAGGGGGCCTCCATTTATACCCTGGGTCGGATTTGAGCTGTGGTCATAATTGGTCATGATTCAGAAGCTTCTCTGAGCCAAGGCACCTCATTGGCTGTTGACCCTGTCTGTCCTGCTTCTCCCGCTCCCCCTACCGAGGGATGTATGTGTCTGGGGGCACGGCGCCCAGGTGGGAGTGTGGTGGTCGGCACTTGACCACGGTGTGCACCTGCTGGCACGTTAAAAGCCCCAATCTGTATTGGATATGGCGCGGGGGGCAGGGGCGGCGGAGCATAGCGTACCTGTCATGCAACCCACTCCGTGACCACAGTCATGATCGGACCAGTTACTCTGCAGTGGTGGTACAGTCACCTCTTGCCTCCAAAGTTAAAAGAGGGCACAGTACTGGTTGGCGAGTTTTAACACCCAGTGTGGATCACCACTCCTCAAGTGTCTTTCAGCTGTTATTGTTAGCGATCAACCAGGCACCAGTCCATCCACAAAAAACTATCAACCGTGTAACAACAGCCAACGTTACAGCAACAATTCACAACAGCAACGGGCGAACACATGAGCACCATCCTGGGGTTGTACGGGAACATCGAACATATGGGTAGGGTTCGGGGCGGGGGGGGAGGTCAGTTGCATGGCTTGGTTTTGGGGGCATGTCAGCGTCAGAAGTGGGATTTAGGGGAGCGCAAGTTTCAGGGGTGGGTTTTAAGGGAGCATGCTTCACAGGGGAGACGGATTTTGTTACAGTACTCTTAATGCAGCTTATAATAATGCAAATGGCAACCATCACCATTATGATCATCATCAAAGGTCAAAGGAGGCTAGTTAGCCACTCCGCTGCCAAGGACAACCCAAGCAAGTGCGTTAAAAACTTTCCCCAACCAATTAGTCCCTAGCGCAGTAGCGATTTCTCTTGTGTCCTTAGCAATTTTCTTCATCTTGCTCATCTGTTCTTGTAGTGGCACCGAAACGTTTGGGATGTGGACGGTCGTCTACGGATAGGTTCAGCTTCCTGCATATGCCTTTCTCCTTCAATAGGATTAAGTCTGACACAGCTTGGTTTTGAATAGTCATCTTGCTGTTTCCTTGTAATTGACGGTTTAAGAAGCCTATGCTGTCATGTGCAGAGTTTATTAGCACCTCTAGCTGTAGGCTGAACTCTAGAATAGAGTGTCTGTTTCATAGTGGGGTGATCCACGTTCCAAAGATTGACTCTAACCACCATCCAGTCCTCGTTGGAGCATTTTCCCACCCCTTGTGTACATCCCTTGGCACGCGATCCCACCATTGTTGTGGTATGGGCCCTTCCCAGTAGATAGGACAGAGGGAAAGCACAGCTAACGTGCAGGCCAGTTTGGGGGCAGCTGGGAATATAGGCGGCCATCAGAGCACGCCTATATTAAGTAAGTTAGGAGGTGTGGAGGCAAAAGATGTTTGGCATGAACGTGGAGTAGTGGTGAGAGGGTGACAATAGTCTCTTTTATGGCAGTTTAGGACAGAGGGACGGGAATAGCTGGTATTGCTGCACAAGCAGCCTTGTATTATTTGTTACAAAATCTCAAATTCTAGAAGTGTCTCCCAGGGTTTCAAGGTTTTCCTATGAAGTATGCTGTGGGTGTTGGAGTTATATACGGTAGCCATGTTTATTAAGCTACACATTAAAATCACCACTCAAGCCAATGGGAAATCGCGAATAAGTTGTGTACTGCAAGAACCTTGTTAGGGCATGCAGAGGTGCAGCCAGGAAGGGTGAGGCTCAGCTAGAATTGCAACTGGGCAAAGATGTGAAATGCAACAAGAAAGGATTCTTCAGGTACATGAGCTATAAGCAGAAGGACAGGGAAGACATACGCCCATTACTAAACAGGGCAGGAAAATTAATCACTAAGAATGATGACAAGGCAGAGGTTCTTAATACCTTCTTTGTCTCTATCTTTACCAGCATAGCTGCACCCCAGATCAAGTAGCTACCACAATTTGTGTCCCCCCACCAGTGGAGGAAGGGCTCATCTGTTGCATCTTGCTAGGACTCAACCCACATAAATCATAGAATTGTAGAATCATATAATAGTTTGGGTTGGAAGGAACCTTTGAAGGCCATCTAGTCCAACTCCCCCTGCAATGAGCAGTGACATCTTCAACTAGATCATGTTGCCTGTCCAACCTGACCTTGAATGTTTCCAGGGATGGGGCATCCAACACCTCTCTGGGCAACCTGTTCCAGTGTTTCACCTATGGGCCTGGATGGAATCCACCCCAGGGTGTTAAGAAAATTGGCCGATATTATTGTAAGGTCTTTAAAATTTGAAAATTCATGGAGCTCAGGGGATGTCCTTAATGGCTGGAAGAGGGTAAATGCCATGCCCATCCACAAGAAGGGCCCAAAAGAGGACCCAGGAAACTACAGGCCCATTAGTTCCCAATCCCTGGAAAAGTAATTAATGAGTTCTAGAAACTGTTACTGATCAAATCAAGGTGATTGGGAAAAGCCAGCATGGATTTACCAAAGGCAAATCATGCCAGACTAACCTGATAACTTTCTACAACATAATAACGTCTTCTGCTGAGATGGGGAGAGCAGTGGATGTTGTTTACCTGGACTTCAGCAAAGAATTTAACACTGTCTCCCACAGCCTTCAGCTGGACAACCTGGCAAGATACAGATTGGATGGGTAGCCTGCGAGATAGATGGGAAATCAGCTAATAGGTCACACTCAGAGGGTTTTGCAACATCTTCATGAATAATCTGGATGATAGGATTGAAAGCACCCTCACCAGTTTGGCTGATGACACCAAACTGTGTGGTGAAGTGAATATGTCAGAAAGGGAGCCATCTTACAGAGACACTTGGACAGGCTGGAAGAGTGGGGCTAGCAAGAACAGTATGAACTTGAACAAAGACAAATACAAAAATCTGTACCTGGAATGACATAATGGAAGAGCCCAGTACAGGCTGGGATCTGTGTGGAGTACTGTGCCTAGTTCCAGTCCCCACAATTCAAGAAAGATGCAGACAGTCTGGAGAGATCCGAAGATGATCAAAGGGCTGGAGAACCTGTCCTATGAGGAAAGACTGAAGGAGTTAGGCCTTTTCTCCCCAGAGAAGAGAAGGCTCAGGGGGGACCTCACAGTATACCAACACTTAAAGGGCAGCTATAAAGAAGGATGGAGGCTCTCTCTGCACAAGGAGAAGACAAGGGTACCAGTTGCACTGGAAGAGGTTTCATATCATCATAAGAAATTTTTTACAGTGAGAACAATCACTCACTGGAACAACCTCCACAGAGATGTGGTGGAATCCCCATCATTGGGGGTTTTCAAGATGTGATTGGGCAGGGTGCTAGGCTCCCTTTCCCATGAAAGGTTGGACGAGATGACCTTTTGAGGTCCCTTCCAACCTAGACTATTCTATGATTCTATGATTTAATTCCTTATTTTGCTTTGCTTGCACACACAGCTTTTGCTTTACCTATTAAACTGTCTTTATCACAGCTCAACAAGTTTTCTCACTTTTAACCTTCTGATGCTCTAGGTGAACCTGCTTTAGCAGGAGGGTTGGGCTAGATGATCTCCCGAGGTCCCTTCCAACCCTTGCCATTCTGTGATTCTTACCCCATCCCTCTGCAGGGTGGGGACTGAGTGAGCGGCTGTGCGGGACTGAGCTGCCTACCAGGATTAACCCACCACACACTAGAAAAGTAAATCTATTTTAAAAGGGATGGCTTTTCCTTTAAAAGGGATGGCTGCTCAGAAGAACGCACCAAATCTGAGCTGGATTTGTTTGAAGTGTCCCCAGGACAGACCAGTACTGAAAAAGTCAGTGTATTGAAGTGCCTCAACTTCCCACTATTGCAGAATCTGCACGTCTGGATTTTTTCACAGCTGGGAATGGGGAGAATTATATAGGTCTGAACAACACCCTAGCTGTATCTTTGCTGCAAGATTGTAAAAGCTGATGCATCCTACCTCTGGGCCAGTGAGAGCATGGGGTTTCTGAATTATCTCCCACTGGCCTCTATTTTCAGCCAGCTGGCCACTACCTCGGGGACCAACTGATAAGCCAGAGCAACCACTGCTACCCCTCCTGTGCCTTCATTGAGTTGCTTATCAGTCACATCTGTGACATGCTGTCCATGCACTTCTCCATGGGGCTGTCCTACAAAGACACAGCCTGACAGCAGGAAACGGTCTCGCTGGATGCTGTGGGGTAATCAGAGGTTCAGGCAATGCTTGGCTCTGACAGCCCAGAATAGGAGGATTGAACCCTTGTGAAACCTTCCACAGCAATCTCTTCTTTCAAGACAATCTTCTGTTGAAGAGTGTGGATGTAAAAATTAAGCTGAAGGGGATCAGAGATGGTTTTGTTTGATGAGCTCTCCAGCAGCAGGAGCTTGCAAGGTGGTTATTGCCTCTGCCTCATTGCTTGTGAAAAAGGTGTCGACGGCGCTTGGAGTGTATTGAGGGCATGCAGAGACATTACTTACAGCCAGCTAAATACCCCATGGATTGGATGGGTATGAAATTTTTCAGCATACCAACTGGCAGTTGTGTCAGCAGCCAGGAAAATTTGTTTCTGGAACAGCTGCCCAAGCTTGTTGTTATTAGGTTTCTTGATAACAACACTTTTAGCAGTGATTACGCTGAGAATCCTTTTAACTTGCCTTCCCAGGTGCCCTTACACAACAGACATGAGGCTCTGGAATTAGAAGGACAGGGACGTGATGAGGTGGATGACGATCACCAAGATCAGGTCAGCCTATTGCCTGCATCATGACCACCTCCATGAAGAAAAAAACAGCTTTTGAGGGGAGCAGAGGGCCCAATCTGTTGACCAAACCCACCTTTCAGGCAAGTTTTCTGCTTCCCTGTGGCTTGAGTTAAAGACATTATCAGGAAACTTCCTAGCCTGGTAGGGCCCTGAGATTATTATCTGCTATTGCTTTTTTGTGTGGGTACAAA